CCAGCTACCTAATGGTCCCTTTCAGAACACTCCGACACCGACGAAACTCCATTAGAGAGAGCATCTTCTGACGTGACCTAGGCAGCCCGCAGGCAGACCTAGTCCCAAGATCCATAACCCGTCTCGACGGATATACCATCAAGAGCGCCTGCATCGACTGTCGGCCTCGGTAAGGTGCGCATCCCGGCAGCATCGGCAACATATACATCTTGTCACACGATATCCTTCTGAAAGCACGCATGTGTAACACATGTTCCCAAAGAAACAACTCTTACATCCTCACCGGCACGCCACGGGCATCGCGCCTGCGAGGGCCCTCTCACCTCTCACCCATACGTCGTCCTGCAACCTCCCGTGTCGTCCCCGGCCTGCCAATGTCAAAAAAAGAGAAAAAAAAGACAATGTCCGCCCGTTCGGACGTCAGAGCGGACAGCCGCTCGGCCGCGGCGACCGACAGGCTGGATGCTCGATCAAGCTTCTTGGGAGCGTCCTGCAGCGGAGTCACAGTTTAACAAGTCCCGCCGAGGCCCTCTTGGTGTGATTAGTTCCATCATCCGACAAAGCATCCGTGTAAGCAGGGCAGCAAGAGGCCAAATAGAAGGAAGAAAGAAGACGCTCTACGCGTTTTCGTTCCGCCTCGCCTGTCGACACCTCGCTGTGTCCCATCCTTGTCAATGCGGACTCGAGTTTGCCCGCTGTCGACGCAGGACGAACGAAATAGGGGACGATAGGTCACGGAAACCGAGGGCAAGGGGTCCGTCCATGGACTTGGCCCAGACCTTCAAACTCGTAGGGATCGACACGGACAATAGCCAACGGGTGGCTGCGGGACAGTACCGATTTGGCGATGCCTGCCCACGGAGTAAACTTTTGACGCCGTGGGTTTCCTCCACGGTGACCTTCTGAGCAAAAAAATTTGCTCATGCAGCGCCCAGAGTTCTCTTCCATGCATTGAAGGCGCAACCGCTAGAAGTCCCCAAAATGCTCCGGGTCTGCAAGCCCAAGCGAAAGAGGCTGTCACCGTACAGCCATACAAGTCGCCACTATGGGAACACAGTGCCATTTACTCTAACGTTCAGCTCTGCGGATTCGCTGATACATGGTCCTCAGACGAAGCCAACGGAAGCGAGGTATTCACTACGCTGTGCAGATATGTTGCCTTGTCTGTCTTGGCTCTCCACCAATCGAGCCGCGTGCGCGCAGCCGGAGAGCGTGGTGGATGTGTGAACCATAAGCCCCCCAGAGCCCGCAGGATGTCGTTGTTTTCAGGGTCAATGACCAGTGTCGCCCAGCCTTATAGGCCGGAGTATTGTACGAAGGCTAGCATGCCCAGTCCGCTCCGCAGGATTACGTCTTGTACATTTGCAGGGCTGTAGGTGTGGCCCTACGAGAGAACGAAAGCACAGGGCCCGACACCTTCCCCCCGCTGCTTGTTTTTGCTGCGCCGGTGGACGCTGTAATTTGGTCCTGGAATGCTGCTGCGGCATAGAGCGAGCTTTGCAAAGCGAGGTCTCTGTGGTTCGTGGCGCTGGCGTGACGGGCTGATCACAACCAACAGCATTCCACGGCAGTCAATCTACTAGCCTCCCATGTGGTTCAGGCAGCGGCATGGTCGAGAATGATGGGGAGAAAAAAGAAGAAAAAAAAATGAAAAAGGAAAATAGATGTTTCCTCATGTCTCTCCTCCTCTGCACGCGCAAAGGACCCAGCTGAGTTGAGTGAAGCCACAAGAGCGAGGGTGGCCGAAACAGGACATCTTAGGACTGTTCTGGGCCACGGGGCTGCCGTGTTTTGCTCCAGAGGGCTTCTGAGATCTCATCGCTTCCATCCAGTGTGGGTAGGATATCCCATGTGGAAGAAGGCCAAATTTTGAGGGTGAGCGGGCGGGTAAGGAGGTGTGGATGATGGGCGCCCCGGGGCGTCTCGAGAGGGCGTCGAAAGGTTCGTCCGCATCGGCTAGCTGGCCTATCCAATTCAAATCATCATGCATGCAAGAGTCCTCATCGGTTTGCTGCGGCCGCCTAACGACACCCTCACTTACCCCCCCCCCCCAGCGAAGGGTTGCTTGCCCTGCTCAGCCGTACCACGTCCTCATCTTTTCCCAGCCCTGCGCCGCCGCACGGCAGAGGATTCTCGAGGTCTATCTCTCATAAGCACTGCAAAAGATGCGTCCAGGGGTCGATTGTCGTGCTCACCTCAGCTTCCGCCCCTTGCCCTTGTTCGCTCGAGTCATACCAACCTGGGCCACTGGTGCTGTTCAAGCGCGCTGGTACATGTGGACCAGATCGAGCCAACCGCATGCATGTTCCCTCGTCGAAAGCCAGGACAGTAGGCATCGGTGCAACTGTCCTTTCCAGGCCGCCTCAGCACAGACGCGAGGGCCCGCGCATTGCTAGGATGTGCCAGAGGGTGTTGGTTGGGGTCATCGCAACAGGCCGTCCCGCAAGCTCTTGCGCCGCCCCTTGCATAGGGATATGCGCGGCTGTCTCTCGTCCTGGGATGCCCACTGGCCAGCGCTTTGGACCCCAAAATGGACTTGATGAGATGAAGGACGTAGACGAACGCCATGCGAATGGTACTTGAAGAGTTTTGGCTCTAGTGGTTGTCAGAGATCGCCAAGACCAGTGTCAGCACGGGGCGCGAACCCTCCTGACCTCATGAGGTGGGCGACCCTCAGGCCGTGAGTGCACTAGTGAACGGTGCGCAGCGTCACGCTCGCTCGCTCGCTCCCTCGGTGACTGGACACGATCGTGCTATTCCAAGACGACCCTGGACCCCAGATGATTGCTCGTAAAGGTAGGCCCAGCCCTGTCGGGACCATCAAGTCTCCGCGCCACGGGCTCAATTCCGCTACAGTGGCCCCTGTTCGAGTGTCTTTTCGGTGGGCATGTCGTGCTGCCCCGTAGAAAATGGCCCGGCAAATAGCCAGGAAAAGGAAAAGACAGGCGAGGAAACATGGGGTCAGATTTCGTTTAGAGACAAGAGTCTCCAACCCTAATACTGCCAAGCCAAGGAGCCAAGCCTATGCAGGTGTGCCATTTGCAAAATTGATAACGTGGTGGATAGTCCTGAATGCGGGGGAGGGACCGTGACACATCAATTTCGTGACGGGGCGCTGTTGGTGGTTGGCGCTAGCCCGCTGGTGCCGTCTTTGAGAGATCACGTTGCGCGTCTCAAGTCACTGGGCGGGCA